ACTGCTCGATTGAAATTATGACCTTGTTCTTTTCTTCAAATTGCGTCTTGCCATTCCTCCAACTCCAAAACGGAGGAAAAACGATCGTTCATCGAAAAGACATCCGCAATCTTCATTTAGATCTAGATCTAGATGTACTGATGTAGATCTAGGCTAGCCGCGAAACTAGATTAGATCAAAGATTTATGTCTGTCTGCCTAGATCTAGATCTAGATATTAGATCCAGCCCTAGGCCACAGATCTAAAAGAACCTAGATCTAGGTCTACCCTGAGCCAAGAGGGCGCAGAAACTCTCCGAAATTACAAAAGAGTTCCCCTACCGGGTCTGTATACTTTGTGACTTTGTTCCCGGTTACCGAGTCTGTATCTGTATACACTCCCTAAAGAAGAGGCCTAACCCTAACCCCCCAAACCCTATCCCTACCCCTACCCCTCAATTCTGATCCGTCTCATCATAGTGGTGGCTCCTTACGGAAGTCCTCCCCCTTCTAGATCTAGATCTAGATCTTGATCTATTTGTAATGTAGAGATGCAGGCTGAGCTAAAGGCTAAGGGCACAGTACCTTCTGGGGGAAGGGGGTGAGGTCCATCAATGAATCCAGACTTCATCTTTATCTGAGTTGATCTGTTCTAATCTAGATCTAGATCTAGATCTAGATCTAGATCTGATCTAGATTAGCTACCTAATCTAGATTCTAGATTTTCTAGATCGCAATTCAATAGGCTTACAACTACAAGAAAATTTACGATGCGACTGAAACCAAAAATCTGTGTTAAAAAATTAAAATAAAACACATTTGAACTTGACTGCTAGATCTATCTAGATCTAGATCTAGATCTAGATTAGATCTAGATCTAGAAATCTAGATTCTAGACTCTAGATATCTAGAATCTAGTCTAGATCTAGATCTAGATGGCTTTGCTCCAGGGCACGAAAGCAGATTCGATTCGACTCACTCTCTTCCCCTCCCTCTATCTGCACCTGGGCCTGGGTCACTCCCCGATTCCCCCCTTCGCCCACAGGTGGCAGTGTTCGTCCTTTTCCATGAAAACCCACGATAGTCGATAGCAAGCTGTCCGCCATTTCTTGGAGTGAGGCCTAACATTCAGTTTCCAGAAATACCGTTTCCATGAAAAACCGATATAATTTCCATCATTATCAAACGCTCACCCTTTCTGAATCCGCGGAAAATCGTCAAAACATCCTGAATGTCACAAGTGCCCAACACACATCGTTGTCAGGATACGACAAGTTTCGATACTATCCCAACTTGTTCACCAACCCCCGAGCGGAAGAAATAACTTGACCTACACCCGGACGTAACGCTGTTCTCCATTTTCATTGGTTCATCGACCCAAGCTAAGCGGAAACTTCCGAGTAGCCTAGGCAGAGAGTACTATCTAACGTGCAGAGCAAGCACAGTCACGTGGCATGGTTGGCGTGTAAGCCAAGCAGCCAGGCCGCCTTGCTGGCGTGTGTGTGTGTTGGTGGGTCAGCCTGCCTGTCTGCACGGCAAGCGTGCTAACCGTGTGTAAGCAGCGCTACCGGGAAACGTGTTGCGCAAGTTGACATTGGGCCTCAGGCCCTGTTTCTACGTTTTTAGTTTAGTAAGAGTTTTACGGCGCTCGCAACTACATTAGGTCATATGACCGCGCTGTTTCTACGTATTGACTGATCAAGTTCTTGAAATTTATGCCAAGATCTAGATATAGATCTAGATATCTATATATCTAAATGATCTAGATCTAGATCTAGACTCTAGTTTTAAGCAAACGACCATGCCCTCTGTGCAAAGCCAGTGAAAATAGAATCTAGATCTAATACAACAAGATAGGGCTACAGCCCAGCGGCAATCTTTTTTTTTGTAAATATGTGTCCCCGTTTTATCATTTGAACTGTCCTGCCTTGACCGACTTCAAATTTCTTTGGCCTTTTCAGAGAACGTATAGCCTTTTCTTGGCCAGGTGTTGATGTTCCGTCATCTCGGACTTCTTGTTGTTGTTTTGGTTTCTTCGATGCTTTTTTTTCATGCACCCATCATACATGTATTACAGAGTGCACACCACAGAGCTTACAACAAGTACGCAAATGGTCCGTATACACGGTACGGAGGCTACACCAAGTCAAGTGAAGAGCCGACGAACAATGCAGCTATCGTAGTGGCACATGTAATGTGAGCGCGCAGAAGATAAACACGCGTTCAAGACGGTCACCTCGTCGTTTGGCATTAGGCTATGGCCTGTGAGAGCCAGCTCTTCAGTTACAGCAAATTAGCTTAGTATCATGTACACTCAGTGAAATAGAC